ATAGACTTATAATTTATAGTTTTTAGAAAAGTCATGTAACTTATGGAGGAAATTTACCACTTGAAAAAAAAAAAGAAGTTTAAAAATACAATTTATAGTTTTTTAAATAAAATATATATGAAATGATCATATTACGGTAGATTGTCCTCAACTTTTTAAATCAAACACATATTTAGATTAATATGTTTGAAATGAAGTAAAAGTACAAATTTAATTATATATTTTATTGAATAACTACTTTTTAGTTTACTTTGAATACAAATATATCATCCTATTCATTTTATTTATAAAGTTACTTTTTAATATTTTTTAAAAATATTGAAATTAATTTTATTTAGTCTTTAATTTAAATCTAATATATATTATTAATTTTATTATACTTGTTTCTTTTCGGGTACATTACTTAAAGTCAAAACAAAGGTGAAAATAATTAACTATAGTAACGAACTTTAATATTAAAGTAGATTTTTTTAGTAAGCATAATCAATATAAAAATATTAGGAATTAATTAAAATAATAATTAGATAGAGTAATGAAACTCATAAAAATAATGAAGTTAAAACAAAATGTGTTGATAGAAATAACATTAATCAAAGAACTATTTAGCTTCTTCTTATTATTCTTGGTAGATTTTTGTAAGTATGAAATTACATTTTTACCCTTGATTAACATTTACTTTCATATACAAAAAGATGTTTCTAGAATTATTTGTTTCTCTTGCTATCTTTATGAATAGATTTTTATAAGTATAAAATTATATTTTTACATTTGGTCGTCCTATCACTTCACTCTTTCTGTATAATAAAAATATTACGAAAGCGTTTCTTTTAAAATATGAAAAGACTGTATTTAGTATTACGTATATCACCTTTAACGTCATGGGTGAAACAACTTACTTTTGCTACAATTTGAAAAAAAATTAGGTTTGAAAAAGTCAAAGCTAGACATAATTTTAACTTGATTTGAATTGACTAGTAAATAATAACAAATCCTTATAAATAGTAATACTCCTAATCTGGAGTGTAAATTTATCTATAAAAATCTACTAATATTATAATAAATAATAGTTTCCACTGCAAACTTTACATAACACACATATATATATAATAAAGTGATTAAAAATGCTTTTAAACATAGTAAATATTATAAATATTCACAAGTAATAGAATCAAAACAGCACATTCTTAAAAAGACGAAACACATGCTTAAGAAAATATCATTAAGGACTAAAGTCATAATTTGAAGGATTAGAAGTGATATTAACCCTTCTTTCGGTTTTATTATGTTTTAAAGTTTTAATAAATGGACTAATCACAAAAACACGTTAACTATAATGAAACTATCAATTACAGCTACGTAGGATCATGCGATGATCACTGAACATGATTCTTTTGGCTTTTTCTTTGTAATATATCTGAACATTTTTTGGTATGTAATAATATGCAAATTTATTTAGATATACTTGGTCAAAATAATAATAATAAAAATAATAATACCCCCTCAGTTGTCTCTAGTTAATTTTTGATACTTTTTTTTTATATTAATTAGTATTTCACTTAAAAGTTGAATTTTGAATTATGAAATAATCTTTTTTCTCTACTAAATTAATTTTCTCTTGGCTCCGTTCGAATATACAATATGAAATGATTATGCTTCAAAATTATGATATTGATTAGAGTGATAGGAAGTTAAGTTTTTTTTAAAACATAAAACATGCTGTCGAAAAAGTATTAAAATTATCTCAATTCTTATACGATCTCATCAAAGAAGCAAACTACAATTCATTCGCAAGATGTCGTAACTCGTTAGCCGTATTAGCATATATCCATGTTCCTGTTATAAATAAATGTTAGTGATCATGGAAATCACAATTTTGAATCCCTCAATTATACTTTTTTGGGAATTCAAAATTTGAACCATGATCTCTAATCAAACATAAATCTAAAATTATAAATATTGTTGATAATATATGTAATATGGGAGTTTTTGTGGGACACTAAAGGCAGTGTGAGTGACCTTTTGCCAGCTCCTTTTTACTCCCTTATTCGAGGAAAGACAGTGGAAAATAGGCTCCACAACATTCATTTACAAATAAAATATAGAAAAATACAATCACTCTTTTTCTTTTCACTTTTATTTTCCCTCGTTCGCCTCGAATTCATTGTATTAATTCCACTTCTTGTTCGCGGTATGCTTTTTATGATCTCGGCTTATAATTCAATTGCCATGTATCTACTCTTGAAAACGAGTGATTTTAAAATTTTTAATTTTTATTAGCCTTAGAAAACCGTAAAATTTATTAAACTTAAAGTTTTATCTATAAAATAAACGGAATCGAAAGTTGAACATCAATTACTATTTTTTTTTAAGAATAACTCTTATTTTGAGATTTTCAATCTTTATCACTCAAATTCATGATTTTAACTGTTGTCTCTTAACTGTTCTCTTAATAAACATTTGTGTGTCAAAGTATGTTTGATTATAATCTAAATTTCGTTGGGCAAATATTTTTTACCCTAAAACTCAAATTCAACAATTTCAAGAGAGAAAAGATGAATATCACCTAAATCACACAAATAATATATTAACTTTAGATCGCAAAATTAAAAAAATATATCAGAAATATATCAGAGAGGTGAATTCTATATGTATATCGATTAGATAATTGTATATTAAACATATGTATTTATATATTTGGCGAATTATACATATATAAACGTGACTAATTATATAAACTCAAAGTCAACCTACATAATTAATGTATAATATTAATCGCGAATGATAATTATAGTAAATTATAGCAATATTGAGTGATTAAATACGTTATATAAATTTGCTTAACCGCGTAATTTTTCCTTTAAAATATGTAATTTTCCAAAGTGATTCTCGTGAATTACCCACATTTAATTTGGGAATGTTAAACTTAGTCCAGGCCCTGTTTGAGGAAACGAAATGTGAATCTACGTTTAGTTTGCCTTTGTTTTCTTTTAGCCCATAAAAAACTTAACATATTATATTAATAAATAGAGTTTTTTTATTTTTTCTCTGTAACAATGAAATTAGTAATTGCTATTCTTTTTTGGACGTTCACAAGATAATTTTTGCTTCGAAGTAATAATTTCGAGTTTCGAATCACATTGAAAAAGTAATTCATACTAGACAAATCTAATACAACAAGTTCGATCCAAAGAATGACAAACCCCTTGTTGAGAAAATTATTCCCAAGTTGGTTATTACACAAAGGAAAATACTATCTCCTACGGCCATCATGCATCAATTTGTTAAAACAATTATTTTAAGTGAAATTTACATAAATATATTGTAATAAAAAAATATTTATTATTTTATAGCAATAATATTTTTTTTTATTTGACTATTTTTAATTCATTCATGATACAAGTTTAATACATATTACAAAGATAAATTTATTATTTAAATATAATACAAGTTTTAATGATAGATAATATATTTATCACACATTTTAATACACTTATAATACAATGTGACAATTTTTTATCAAACAAACATAATATATTTCAAAAACAATTATAATTCAAATATATTGCATACGTAATTCATTTTAAATACATATTTCAGATTTATCACAATATTGCTATAAATGATAACAAATAATTTTTTTTTGCTAAAATCAAAAATTATTTTAAAAAATATATTAATTCATATAATATTTCCTTATTTTTAATCCACTCTATACTTGCCAGTTGCCTCACCTTAAATTGCTTTAAACCCTCTCTACCCTACATAATTTAAAATCTCCATTCATTTGTTATCCCTATTTTTTTAATATAGACTATCAAAAATATTTAGGCTCAAAGAAAATTAGAGGTTTTCATCCTTAAAACAATCCTTTGATGTTGTAAATAGCTATAGGTAGGATTTAAGTTTCAAACCATAACTAGTATGTACACTTACTAACTTGTCTTTCTCCTAAACTTTAGTTTATTTATTTATTTTTTCCTAAACTCATTATAACTTTCACTCTCCATTTAAAAAAAATGATCTAGTTTGATTTGGAATAGAATTTTTTTTAATTTTTTTTAATCTTGTAGTTTTAAATTAAAGTTATGTTAAATGTACTAAAATATCTTTTAATCTTGTGGTTTTAAACATGTCACGTGAAAAGTTAAAGTTAAAGTGTTGCAAGAAGAAGAAGAAAGAGTCATTCTTTTTTAAATAAACTAAAAAAGAAATAGGGTTATTCTTTTTGAAACGGAGGAAGTAGAGCTGTCAATATGGGCTAGCTCACTCCATCCGGGCTAACCCATATAGGCTTCGACATTTACGGATCAGGTCGGGCTAGCCCATTTTTAGTGTGGGCTAGAAAATGGCCAACCCAACTCACAAGTATGTTGGCTACAGACCACTTAATATTAAAATTATATTATTTTTAGAATTATTAAATTAAATTATAAATTATAATTTAAAAATATTATCATAAATATCAACAAAACAATATTACATGATGTTAATGTTACTAATTTTTGATCAAATGCACAAATAAAATTACCTTTATAATATTTATTAAGTTTTTTTTTCAAGTAAAAGTATAAATATTTAAATAGAAATATTAACGTAATTGTTTTGAGTTTAACTCTCTTTAATTTTAAATTTTGATAGTATATTATATTTTTAAATTACTTTTTATCGACTCACGGACCGGCCCTACCGATGTTTCTCAAGCCTCACAAATCAACAGATTTATTCAGGCCGAGCTGGCCGAGCTAATTTTTTTTTTCAAATGGACTTCAAAAATCATAATCCAACCTTATTAAATTTCGGATCAGATCAGACCGACTTAACAAGACTAGCCTATATTAACGATTCTAGATGGGAGTATTATTTTTCTTAACCACGACGCAGTAAGCTTGATAGGAAATCGTGATTGCCACAAATTTACGGCTCATAATAAAATGATGGTATACTGTGCGACTGATCATTTATTAACTAGTTGTTATTTAAACACATAATTTCAAGGCATTAATCACAGAGTATTAACTGCACAATTCTTCTTAATCTCTCCACTGCTACCACGCTTTTCTACTTCTCACTCTCTCTATTATTCTTCTCAATCTCGTCATCAATCTACCACCGGAGGCCGGTACTAGCTTCCCGGCGACATCTCCGATTTCATCTCCTCTAGTTCCTTCTACAGAGGCTCTTTCTCCGACTCCAAATTATCCAGCTCTTTCTTCACTGCCAAACACGCCCCAGCAAAGTCATCACCATCACCCCCCCGCGAATTTCGAACTATCCCCGCCTTATCCTTGCTCACGTGTTCGATTGCCAATGTGCTAACCGTTATGTACGGCATTTTCCCCATCGGAAAATCAGTCCCCGTCGCCGGAAACTTCAAACTCCATCCTACCTTCCCCACCACCTTATCCACTATCGGAAACACCGTTCTCGCGTGTACTTCCCCACCTAATAACCCCTACGCCGCAAACAAATTAGCCCAGGTCACTTTCCCGCTCTCATCCTTAGGGATAATATTGTTGCTCTGTACGTCGCCGTTTTGGATTTTGCTCGAATTAACCGAACTCCGGATTGAAAAATCACCCAATTGAGGTTTAAAGTGAAGGAAAAAGTTAGGGTTTCCATTACCTAGAAAATTTAACTCCGCACTCATTGTCATGGGTGCTTCAATAGGAGAACCAAGAGATCCGACTCTGGTTTTGACAACCAAACCGAAAGGCCGGTGACTCATTGGGCCGGAAAAACAGCTTCAGAACCGGACCGGATTGGAAAAAGGTACTAAATCTCAAACGTAAATCTCTGTGTTTGACATCATTACTGCTAGTTTCAATACAAGACCGTAATGGAAAACCTAATGTGTTTAATGGGATTTTGACTTTCACAATTGGGTTTTGATTTTCTAGAAATTTCAATGAAGCTTTCATTATTTTTGCAAAGATGAATTCTCCTTTGAGAAATGTCGTAGAGCTTTAATGGAGGCTCTTGCCATTTCTTTTAAAGAAGCATCACACATAACTCATATCACTTCATTTTAATTTTATTTTATAATTGATTAGGAATAAGTTATTTCAAAATTATTAATTCGTTGAAATAAAACAATACTAGAATGATATTTGAACAAATAAGTTTATGTTTTTTATCGCTCATATCAAATAAGTCCATAATTAATTATAAAAATTAATGACTAATGAGCATATATTTGTTGTCACAAAAATCTCGTAGGAAGCATATTCTCTAAGATTCGATTTGAAGATATACCCCTCTTTTATTATTTTTAGACGGATCTAAAGCAGAATTGCACATAAGGGATTGGTGGTTAGTTTTGTTGGGTTGGGCTGAAAGTCTAAACCAATATTTGTGGGCCGGGCTAATGCTAAAGTGATCACATTAGGAGATTTTTGTTCTAGAGAGGATTACATACATAGATATAATTTCTTTAAAAAAGGGTATACACAAATAATTTATCTCTGAATTGTTATTACACTTTCAATATAGAATAGGCATAATATCTTATCGGTTGTAAAAAATGACAGTTTTTCCTTTTAGTTTTTTTTATTAAAAAAATGACCTTTTTTCTCTTTTTAGGCAACGCTTTAATTCAGTTTTTGATATGACATTTCTAATGCCACAAGATTAAAGAACATTTTGATAAATTTAACATAAGTTTAATTGTTTAATTTATGATCACAAGATTGAAAAGTCTTATTTATTTTCTTAAACTCCTTACCAAGTTAAACTAAGTCCATTCTTTTTTAAAATGAAAAAAGTACTACAATTTCAAAATAAGTTACCCTACAATTGTATTTGAATCAAAGGTGAATAAGTTTATATAGTTAACTAATTATAAATAAATTGACAATTTTTCATATTTGAATAATTTTTTTAATTCAGAATGAGCATATGTTTGATACACAAAAATCTCATAAGAAACACATAGAGGGTTTGGCTGTTAGTTTTGTTATAGGTTGGGCTGAAAGTTTAACTAATGTTTGTGGGCCAGGCTAATGCTAAAGTGATAACAGATGACTTCTTTTCTAGAAAGGATTACGTAGATATACCTTTCTTTAAAAAGAAAAAGTTATAGCATAGTCTATCCGTCCACTTTTATTTGTCATGTTATAATTTTTAAAAATTAATTTGATTAATTTTTAAACTTAAATTAAACTACATTAATTCGATGTTTAAACAAAAAATTTAGATATTCAAAGACTATAGAAAAGTACTATAAATTGCATTTTTTTTATTATCAATATAATGACCAAATGTATCTTAAAATATTAGTCAAAGTTCTTAAGTTTAATCCTAAAAATAGAAATCTTGACAAACAATAGTGGACGAAAGAAGTATTTATTTTTTTAAAAAATTACATAAATACACAACTTAAGATAACATAATCTCTTAATTTTTCTATTATTTAAAAATTTACAAAAGTTCTCTCTAGCATACATTCATCCCATCCTCTCTCGGATGCACACCTCCAATCCTCTATTATGTAATGTATCATTTGTGATGTATCAAATATTTAAATAATATATCCGAGAGTAATACAAATTAAAATGACACTTATTTTAAAACAAATGAAGTATATAGATAAATCTTTATTAAAGATGAATTTATTTTTTAAACCACCAATCTAAATAGCATAATAAAAAAATAATTTCAATAGCACGGATGCACTTAATATTTTTATGCATTTTATCAAATAAATATGAGCATAATGTGCAATTTCAACAACATTCACATAAAATCGGAAAAGAAGAAGAAGCGAGGATTTGTTACTCCCTCTATTCAATTTTAAAGTATTCTAATTTTAATATTAATTATTTATTTTAAATTATATTGTATAGTTATTAAATTTATATATTAATTGATATCACTGTTTGCCCTAAAAAAGGCAATTGAATTTGTGAGTGAGGATGTTAAGAGAATTAAAGTGATCAAATACAATAAAATAACAAATAATACTGAACGTAAAAAATAAAAATTAAGCTGAGACTAATGACTCTCATAAATACATCGTAGCTGACATGAGTTACTTGACAAGATAGAAATAGTAGATTTTTGATTTAGCAAAACAAATTTTATTATATATTCTGTAAGGACGTGTCCTTACATGGAAAATGTTGCATGATATATATACAAAATTTGCAACTATTTCGCGTATATTTCAACTTTAATCGCTTTATCAAGTTAATTTGTTGTTGAGTTCTGTTTAATTATTTGTGAAGCAATATCGTTTGTCTTTAATATCATATTGCATGATTTATATATAAAATTTGCTATTATTCGGTGCAATTTTGAACTTCAACCACTTTATCAAGTTAATTTGTCGTCAAGTGTTATTTAACTATTTTATTAATTAATATCGTTTGTCTTCCACGTGTTGTAATCTAATTTGCACAGATTTACACTACATTTATCCTATACATAAATATCATAGTAACATGTATAATTCATTTGTTATTTTCTAACCAAAAAAAAATATGACAAGTAAAAATAAATAGAAATATTATTTTATTAAATTATAATTATTTTATTTATTTCTCAGATTATAATTATATTCCAATTTAATTCTAAAATAGGTATTTGTCAAATCATCAAATCTTTTAGACCTTTATTGCTTACTATCAATCATTCATTTTGGGATTTTATTATTTTTGGCTTTGTGATATCTTTTGCATTATTAATCTAGTCATAATTTGTCTTAGTATCAAATAACTCTTTAAATAATTTAATTATGTATAACTTAGATTTTTTGGAGAACATATTATTTTTAATATATATCAAATCAGTTCTTAAATTAGAATAATATCAATATAACTAATATGTATTTCATTGATTTTTATATTAGTTGAGATATGAAATAACTAATGAGACGTGTTAGATATATATTATTTATTTATTTTATTTGGCTAAATTTCCTGCTTAATACGTATTGCACTATGATATTATAAGTTTATAACAAAGGCTATTATATATAAAAATAAACACGACTTAAGACAAATTATCTCTGATACACTAAAACAACAATACATATATACCAAAAAACATACTTCCTTTGTTTGAAAATAAGTGATTTATTAGACTTTTTTTCGTAGTTTAAAATAAATAAGTTGTTTAAAATTCAAGTTATTTTTTGCATCTATATTTTTAGGTCATAATTTCAAGAGAATAAATTGTTGACATTAATAAAAATAAATATTTTGAATTATTTATATTTTAATAATAATTTGGAAAATGGTATTTAATTTACTTGGTAAATCTTCATTGATTTACTAATTTATTAATTTTGAAATGGAGGAAGTATTTAATTACATATGATTAATTCTTGTCAATAGTCATTAGTAATACCTGTAGTTCACTAATTACAATTTGTTTTATTAGGTGTCAGTGAAGGAACAATTACAAATACGAAGAATACACATTCAGGTGCGGATCTAAAGCTGCAAAATTTTGAATCTCAAACTTTAATCGCCCAATTCTCTCTGCCCAAACCAAAACCCTAGCATTTTTCAGTGGTTTTGTTTTGGTTAAATTCTTTCATTTTTTGGGTGTATTTATCTGCTTCAATTTCACTCTGTAACGGCCGATAATGGAGTTTGGGAGGAAGAGAAGAGGTGGCGGTGCTTTCGGTAGCAGTGGAGGCATGAAGAAATCAAGAGATGGTTAGTTTTTTCTTTCTACGTCTACTTCATTTTCTCGAATTTTACGCCTTTTTGTTGTAAAAGCGACGAGTTTTTCATAAAAGTGATCATCTTTATAGTATTCAGAGTTGTTTAATGTTACAGTAAAGGTGAGGTGATTTTGGACTAAAATTGGGTTATTTGCAGCATTGTACTATGTGAAACTGTGAATAGTTGGATCTATTAAATATATTGGTAATTGCTAATGTCACCGGAAATTATGAACTAAAGAGAAATATTTAATCTTTTGTAACAGTATCAGAATCCTTTACGACTGGTGTAGGAAGCAAATCAAAGCCATGCATGAAGTTTTACAGGTTTCATGCTTCATCTATTAAAAACAAGTGTTTCTCAATTTGGTTCATTTATGTTATAATGTTTTGTAATGCTTGAAACCATAAAAAGCTTGTTATGGTAAAAGAAAAATCCAGATGTTGTTGGAGCACTACATATTATGTCATCATGAATGTAAAAACGAAGCCCCAGGGTTTAGTTCAAGTGGCAAAAATTGAGGGACTTGTGAGTTGTGATTTAGGTCACAGGTTTGAGCCTTGTGCCTGCAAACTAAACATGCTATTCAAGTGGAGAGGGCCTGTTATCCCCTGGTTTTGAAGGCTGCTGTTGGTCTTAACTGTTGGCCCTAGACTATTTCTCGCTCATAAAAATAAAAAGATAGGAAAAGGGAAAGAAATAAGCACTCTTTACCTCTGCGTCTCCTGATATTTTCAATCAGCTGTATTTACTCACAGGTTCCCTATAGAAAATTTCTATACCATTGATAAATGTCCAAGCCGAAGTGTTGGATCAAGCATTGTTCATCTAAGATATGTCGTGGGAAGATGTTTTTCAAGTTTGAGGTTGAGTGTGGATGTGTGTGAATAGAGCCTGAAATTGATACTCGTCAAACTTCCCATATTTTCTATATAATTTCTGTTAAACCTAATCTTTATTCCTGTAATTCTCTAAGTCCCCATAGCTAGTATGCCTGTGCTGTGACATGCTAGGTTTTAGCTACTGGACTAAATTAGTGACAGTGTTCTCTAATAGAACCATAACTGTCTGGTAGCCAACTACACTGACAGTACTGGAAGTCATGAATACATCTGGTATTCTGGGGGTGGTATATGAACTTAGTACAATTGTTTTCCTTATTTTTAATTATTCAGTGATTGTAGTGTTTTGTATTGTTGGTTGAACTGATCAATTTTATTAATACCAAAACAAGTGCACATAACAAAACCAAGTAAGTGCTGACCACATCTCATACTAAGATTATAGTGTTTTGGCTAACTGTTCTTTATTGTACAATAAGCATTAAAAATCCAACTTCTTCAATAACGACAAGAAGATCAAACACGAAACTTTCTTTTCGTAGCCAGCTAATACTGCTAACTGAAAAGTCCTTAAATGGTATATGGACAAAAAAGATTTTGTCGTTATAATGTTAACTTTATCAAAAAAAGAAGAAGAAATATTGTCGTTGTAGATATGGAGTCTATATGAAATGAGTGTAGGGTTTAATGGTCAACGGATGTAGGTAAGCTGAACTTTTGTCTGGTAAATACCATTATTTATATCATTCCAATATGGGGAACATTATTTTTATTAAACTTAATTAGGTCACGTATTTACAAAACTGCATGTCAATGTTGGACAAGTGTATTATGTTTAGAACCTCTTGTGTTACAAACCATTAGTTATCTTAAGTATTGAAATAAACTTGTTCTTTATGGAATTGATATAAAAGTCACATAGACAACCTTACCTCAACTATTTTTGAGGTTATGGTGTGGTCGACGTCATCATTGCTGCTAGTGTACCATATATAATAATTATCATCAAACATTTCTTAAATGTTACGTATATGCCAAACATGCAAACCTGGAAGCATCATAACTTTTTTTTTGTTGTGTGTGTGTTAGACTATTCTCATTTGAAATTGTAATTTTAACTCGCCTTTGTGAGTTGTGGTTAATAGATCTGATTGATGTTTTGAGATGGAGCTGTTTAGCATCAAGAATTCAATGTAGATGTAGAATGAACCCGGTAAATCTATCTATTTAGTTCAGGCTAAAGTTCCTCATGTACCTTCTCTTTCCAATTTCAAGTAATCAGAAAGCATTTGATCTATGAGCTGATTTACCTGGCATCTGGATTAATGATTCTGGTGTTAGTTTCTCTTGCATCATGCCATACAACTATGGAACAAGCTCATTTGATATTCATATGGTTATTGTTTAGTGAAAAATATTTTTAGCATTATTACTTGGTATATTAGTTTTCAATCATCTCTTGCAGTTCAGATAGTAATATTTTCTTTCTAGTGCCATGATATTCGTATATAGCAACCACTCTATGTAAGTAATAGTAGGTAGTGTTTGCTAGGTAGTGTTTGCTCAAACAATGTTATGAGCTTGTAAAGTAGGAAGGGAGAAAGCTAATACTTTAAACATGCTAGCGTTTAACAATATTCATCCCAGTGTGTTCTCTTTTCTTGGCTCCATTTGCCTGTCTCTTTGGTTGCTCAGCTGTGCATACACTAACATTCATTTTCTTGATGTGGTGTAGCACTTCTGGATGCTCATTTGGGGCGGGATGTCACTTTCTTCATTATGTTCCTGGCTACACTGCTATGAGCCAGCTATCAAACATGGGCTCAAACCCAGCACCTCCATTTGGAAGGAACAGTGCATCTTTTAGTGATGGTCCTGGCCCAGCTATGAAATCAAAGTTCTGCAGCAAGTTCAACACTGCAGAAGGGTGCAGGTTTGGTGATAGGTGCCACTTTGCTCATGGCGAGATGGAGATTGGGAAGCAAGTGCGTCCAGCGTACGATGATTTCCAAGCCAAAGGTCCTCCGAGTGGGTTCTCAGGTTACCTTGAACCGTCCCAACCTGGTCTAGCTGCTACAAACTTTGGAGCATCTGCAACAACTACCATTAGTGTAGATGCATCTCTTGCTGGAAACATCATAGGGAAGAGTGGTGTGAACTCAAAACACATATGTCTGGTTACTGGTGTCAAGCTCTTTATAAGGGAGCACGAAACGGACACTAACAAAAGAAATGTTGAACTCCAAGGAACCTTTGATCAGATTAATCAGGCGAGAGCCATGGTGAGGGAGCTCATATCGAATATCAGTACACCTACAGGCGGGCTGAAGAATGCTGCCCCATTTTCTCGAGGTCCTCCTGGCCCACTTAAAACAAAGATGTGTGCGAATTTTTCAAAAGGTTTGTGCACATTTGGAGAGAAATGCCATTTTGCTCATGGGCCCAGTGAGTTGCAGAAGCCATTGACTTGATTTCATGGCATTCATACTGTGTATTAGCAAAAATATTGCTTGCTTATAATAGGAGATAGTACAAGGATAAACGTTGAAAGGATACTGTCTGTTCTGTGTTAGTGTAATATGAATCCGTTTAGGATGAGGGTTGCCCAGGTATGTCATATCTGTATATTGGTGACTGGAAAACGCATGTCCTCAGATAGGATCTTGTTACTGCCGCTTTAGAATAATTGGGCTTCAAAATTGAGAAAATGTCAAAAGTGCTCAGTACAATCCTTTTTATCTCTCTTTTTAGCACCTAACCATGATGAATATTTTCCCCCCTCTACTATTTGGGAAAATCAAGTTACTACAGTTTCCAAATATATGTTTGAATTATGAAACTATTTTGCGAAGTTAAACAGTTTGATTATTCGAAGGGAGTAATTCACTTTACGATGGTGGTCCTTCCTCCCTTTTAGTTCTGGATTTGCCAAGTCGCATGATACTATCTGAAAATCAATTATTGTATCGAACAAATAATAAGACAGAAAAAATTGCCAAATAATTTCAAGTTTTGGCTCATCAATGTAACATGTGAACACAAGTCACTGTTACCTTTATCCTGTCAAGCAATGTCCTAGGCTAATCTAATAAAGGATTTGCCTCATCATTTTTCAAGCTTTTATTTGTCAATACAACATTTAAAAGCTAAGTTTTAGGTGTGTTCTGACTCCTGCACTTCTCCACAGACACAAGGCGATTCAGACAAACTGATTTAACCTGCAATAGTTGAAGAGGGGAAATATCACCCTTGAGCTTTTTAATCCAAGTAAAATTGGAAGTAATTTGGAAAGTTAACGCACTTTTACCCCTTTTCAGTTCTACCACACAGCCTCAAGAGAAACATTAGTACTTACCATAAAACACGCGCCAACTTCCCTTTTCCCCAAGCTGGTCCCTTGAACGAAACAGCCTTAATCAGCGTATGGATAAGATGAGCTGCTAGATTTTGCTTGAAGCCTCACCCAACTCTTATCTTCTGTCCTTTGAAATATACGTGGCTTTTTGAAAGGGAATGTTTCCCTCCAATCTGGGTGTTGGATTAAATAGCCCCACTGCCTGTAGAAAGAATTTGTTAAAATGATGTCTCACGTGGCTGTCACGCTGACAAATCCGTGATCCTGGAAAGGGATTGAAGTGTCGTAATTGTGGAAATGCTGTAGTACCTTCTTTGGTTATCCACGAAATCTGGAGCCTCAGCAGAAGGAGAGGTGGAACACGTAAGAAGGATTTCCTGGTCAGTTAAATTCTGTAGCATGAAGGCAATATGCATTTTGTGCATGCCCCTATGGTATAAAAAATGGAGTCCATTAGTAGATGAGTTTAAAACATCAAAGAGGCCTAGCTCAAGTGGCAAAGCAAAAATAAAAAAGTGTGTAACCAAGAGATCGTGGATTTGATGGCAACGTTTCTTTTTTAATACGAATTGTTCCAATTACCTAGGTTCTATAAGTTGATAGTTAATTCATATCCCTTTTTTTTCCCCAATGAAGTTAGTTCAAGTTCTTGTAAGCCCACTAGTGTCGCTGTTACATGATTGTGTATCTTTAAATTGTTCTCACCATTCATCTAAATAAAATTGAAATAAACAGAAGAAATTTAGATGACAACTTCAATGAATTAAGACAATAAACTGAGAAATAACATGACACGATAATATATATAAACACCCCGAGGTAATGCCAAAAGGAGTTAGTAAGAAATCCAAAGTAAGCAGTTTTACCAAGTGCATGGAGCAATCACGAATTGATCAGTCTGAGTATCATATGTCTCAAGTAATCTTCCTTTCCAACTTGGGTCCTCAAAAGATGCAGTCACTCGTATTCTCCTAACAACCTCGTCGGGACATCTTGTTGTTGCATCAAAGTTTGCCGGGATAATAGACCCAGTGGCAGTTTCCGCCTGAGCAAATGAATTTGAAAAAGAAAAAAGAATTAAGAATCTTTAACCAAGAAGATCTGTAGAATACTGAGAAAATTCTGCTCCAACAAATCATTTCTGTTGATTGAGGCACACAGAGAATGGGTAGGTAAAACATAATAGCCTGCCTGTGTCCAACCGTACCATTAAGAAATGAAACGAAAACCCAATACCTCTTTCTCCTGGACACGGTAACTAATATTTACTTTCCATCTATACGTGTGTGCATTTTAAAACCAATGTAAGTAGTCGCAATTCTCTCCCTTTCATGCATCATGAATACCAACCACTAGATTGGCATCCATCCAGAATTAATGATCAAGAGTTTCTGTTATATACATCTGAGGACCCAATTTGAACAATGAGCCTTACTGGCCTAAGTCTGCAATCTCTTTGTCTGCTCCCACGTTTCCCTAATACTAAGCAGAATCACGTCAAAGACAGAAAGTAGGATGACAAGTAAAATGCAACCTCACACTTGTTACTTCACTGCAAATTTGTTAATTTAAGCATGCATTTCATCTAAGATAGATACACCACCAATCTCCAGTTCATTAGATAACAGACGTTATTTACAGTTGTGCCAAATGACAGGAATGTCAAACAGATTAATTGCTGATTACAGATATTAACGGTGAGCATCAAGCACCAATAGATATACAAAGCCAAAAGAATTCACAAGCAAGGAGCTCAACTTCAACCAATTCATCTCACCCTGCAGATGACCATTTGGTTTCAAGAATCCAATTGATATGACCGCCATAGAATTGGTGTACCAAAAGTCAAAAGTTCATTTATTCAAAGTAGAATCCAAAAGTCTTATATTCCTAGAGTGATGTAATACAAATCAATCAACATCTGTTGGGATGTTTAGTCAGCAGGTCAATTGTGAGTTATTGAGTCGATCACGTAATAAATGAGTTCCCCTCCCTCAATGAAAAATGATGTCACACTACTATGATTAGTCAAAGGAGATGAACGCTGATCTTCGCCAGCACAGACATTTAAGCAATATTTTCTTGAATAGGTAACTTTGACATTTAAGCTATATTTGCAACTAAATATGGTCTTATTTGGCATTTTCCAACTGGCTATTGTTTGTCTCTCACCTGGGTTAGCAGTCAGTAAGAAGTTCCAGGTGGTTCTCATATTTCCTTAAGGTTCACCATGAATAACCCCATCTCTCACTCTCAGTTCGTAGAATTAAGTAATTAACTAGAGCAACCTGTCCAATTAATGTAGAACAAAAAAAACTATCCAGATCTTTTATCTATGGTTCAAGCTCCATTCTTCTTTTATCTTATTCAGTTTCACATAATGGATATCAAAAACATGCTTCCACTGTTCCACGGCTTCCTATTAATTTCAAATAATGGCACCAACTGGAATATGTATATTATGTTCCGTCCAAATTCAAAATCCACGTCTGGTTGTCATAGGCACTAACTCAAAAGTTGACTTCCCTTTCCAAAAGCTGGAGATCACTTTAGGATAAGAGTAATATAAAGGATATTTAACTACTGAACAACTTCCATTAAAAAGTAAGAAAACAAAAAAGTTAGCTCCTCCAAAAGAATTGAATTTCGCAACTGTCTCACATAATTGTCTTGTCTTTCACTCAAGGTCTAGATACAGGCTTTAACCAAACCAGTACATCTAAGGAACTCGGATTTCTTAGAGATACCTCACGAGTTATGTCTACACACAAAAAAAAATCAGAAAATGTATATGATTTATCTAGTAGCTCAGAAGTGGTATTGCAACTTGGAATGTTGAATTGTAACTACTGTACTGGAATGACAATTCCCTAACCAGGAATTGAATAGCGACAGTCCTTTCCTACTTTTCATCATTATTGATTCAAACCCCAAACCTTAAGATTGGGGGGAGGACTTTTACCACTAAGTTTTCCCTCCCTGATAATGAACGATATAAACTAATGTGAAATACAAAATACACCTTACCAGGAAACCAGTGAAGATGGGGTATGCAATTCCTTCAGAATCTCGTCTTGTATTATGCCCAAGAACATGGAGTGTGTGAATCTGAAACTTCATATTACTCTTTGCCAGGCTGTCAACTATTTTCTTACACAAAGGAAAGGAATAGCCCTCCAACTTTCTCTGACATTCTGTACTACCATTAACATGCTGCACAAGAAGTCCAACAGATTCAGCTGCATTATCTAGCCTCTAAATGACTCACTATCTCTTTTGAAAATCAAAGAATAAAAAGGATCTTGGCCTGACTTCAGGCGAGGCATCATCAAAACCACCAATTAGATGAACCTGCATATTATACACTTCCAATGTCGGCATCCACAGTAAAAAAAATAGATAACAAAAAAGAAGCTAGTTGCAAATGTTGTTTAACATAAAGATTAGAGAAGAATACATCCAACATGACATCAGAGCTTTGATTGACAACAAAAGCCAACATCTGTGCCAGGCCAATATCAACAACATCTGGTGAATCCAAGTGAGCAACAGATGTCCTGTAGCAAAGTCACAATCACAATAGTTAGACTTGAACACCTGAATGGAAATTAGTGATGTCTTTTTGTCTAAATAGTTCCTCTTACATTCCACTGTTTTGGTTCCTTATGACAATGCCTACGCAAGTTGTTGCCTCATCCGTCCCTACCACCTATGTTCAAGAACATAGGAGATCTTTTAGAACAGCAGAAAAGAGTGGACAATTTTGAAAAACTTGCTAACAATCTTTAAGGTACTGTAGTAGATCAGCATTGTGTGAGAAATGGAATGGTCAAAAGATTTGCTCTAACATAAATACAAACAGAAACGGCAACCACTCTCAGTGACTTAGAATTGTTTTTACATAAATGACCTATGAAGCGAACTGAAGGAGGAATACATTCAAGAGAAACCACATGACCAACAATCAATCACATCCCTCCAACTTCTGCTATAAAAGTCGAAAGAAATGCTAACCAAAAGAAGAATAACTTCACAGAACTCTTAATTATGACAAGAGAAAATCTTTAGAATATCATCACGAGATGACAAGTATGTCAAGATGATAAAAAAGAGGTTTTTGAAAATGATAAGAATGAGTGTGGAGCACAGATTGGCCAGCAAAAAGAGGTTGGACAGAACCATACCAACAATGGAGATGAATCTTTATAGCTACAAATTCACAGTATTGGGTATAAAGATACTTCAATCAGAAAGGATCAGGAAAGTGTATAGAAGAGAGTCCACATACTTGAAAAGGAAAACAACAAGTCCTAACACGAAACACTTGAATCATCTAACCGTTAACATAATGGACACTTCAGTACCAAGATAGAAATGACAACCATTATTCTAATTATTTTGCACGTACCAAGTTTCAGACTAAGAATAT